TGTTTATTAATATTCTAGGTTGTTTCTGTCTCCGAGATATGTATAAGCCGTACCAAAGTTGTATTTTCTCGTTGAGCAAATTGCATTAAAATTTCCAGAATTTGTAGCTTTTATCAAGTTCTACATGGCCAGTAATATACAATATTTCCAGATTTCTAGTTTTTGAGCAAATTGAGTTTGAAGTTTTTGATAAAATTTGGACTAAAAGTCAACTTTGAGGCTCAATTGCTTAAAAACTATATGAACTTATTGAGCTCAATTTTGCACAGATTTATAGAGAATTTAAGGCTCTTTCCAATGATGTATAATTTATTTGCTCAAAATTTAACAAAGATAGGGACAATTGTCCATGACCATGTCAGGATGTTGAAAATTTTCCAGAGCCAAAAATAGGATTTTATTTTTATTTTTGTTTCTGCTTAAAATGGGCATTTGGTATTGATGTCAGGGTTGTTTTCCACTACTTTTGACCCGCTCTATCGATTCATAAAGTCAAAATTCAACAAAACTAAAAAATAAAAAAATCGAATTTTTCATAAGGGTATCCCCTTTGAATTCTGATTTCAAAATATTCAAACCTCAATTGCTCGGTAACCGTTGAGCAAATGGCATTAAAATTTCCAGAATTTGTAGCTTTTATTAAGTTCTAAATGGCTTGTAATTTACAATATTTCCAAATTTATAGTTTTTGAGCAAATTGAGTTTGAAGTTTTTGACAAAATTTGGACTAAAAGTTAACTTTGAAGCTCAATTGCTCAAAAACTATTCGAGCCATCGAACTCAATTTTGCACAGATTTATAGAGAATTTAATTCTCTTTCCAATGATGTATACTTTATTTCAATTTGCTCAAAATTTACCACAGATATGGGCAATTATTCATGACCATGTCAAGATTTTGAAAACTTTCCAGAACTAAAAATAGGATATTCTTTTTATTTTTGCTTCTGTTAAAAATGGGCATTTGGAATTGATATCAGGGTTGTTTTCCACTAATTTTGTCCCGCCCTATCGATTTATAAAGTCAAAATTCAACAAAACTAAAAAATAAAAAAATCGAATTTTTCATAAGGGTATCCCCTTTGAATTTTGATTTCAAAATATTCAAACCTCAATTGCTCGGTAACCGTTGAGCAAATGGCATTAAAATTTCCAGTATTTGTAGCTTTTATCAAGTTCTAAATGGCCTGTAATTTACAATATTTCCAAATTTATAGTTTTTGAGCAAATTGAATTTGAAGTTTTTGACAAAATTTGGACTAAAAGTTAACTTTGAAGCTCAATTGCTCCGAAAACTATTCGAGCTATCGAACTCAATTTTGCACAGATTTATAGAGAATTTAATTCTCTTTCCAATGATGTATACTTTATTTCAATTTGCTCAAAATTTACCACAGATATGGGCAATTATTCATGACCATGTCAAGATTTTGAAAACTTTCCAGAACTAAAAATAGGATATTCTTTTTATTTTTGCTTCTGTTAAAAATGGGCATTTGGAATTGATATCAGGGTTGTTTTCCACTAATTTTGTCCCGCCCTATCGATTTATAAAGTCAAAATTCAACAAAACTAAAAAATAAAAAAATCGAATTTTTCATAAGGGTATCCCCTTTGAATTCTGATTTCAAAATATTCAAACCTCAATTGCTCGGTAACCGTTGAGCAAATGGCATTAAAATTTCCAGAATTTGTAGCTTTTATTAAGTTCTAAATGGCTTGTAATTTACAATATTTCCAAATTTATAGTTTTTGAGCAAATTGAGTTTGAAATTTTTGACAAAATTTGGACTAAAAGTTAACTTTGAAGCTCAATTGCTCCGAAAACTATTCGAGCTATCGAACTCAATTTTGCACAGATTTATAGAGAATTTAATTCTCTTTCCAATGATGTATACTTTATTTCAATTTGCTCAAAATTTACCACAGATATGGGCAATTATTCATGACCATGTCAAGATTTTGAAAACTTTCCAGAACTAAAAATAGGATATTCTTTTTATTTTTGCTTCTGTTAAAAATGGGCATTTGGAATTGATATCAGGGTTGTTTTCCACTAATTTTGTCCCGCCCTATCGATTTATAAAGTCAAAATTCAACAAAACTAAAAAATAAAAAAATCGAATTTTTCATAAGGGTATCCCCTTTGAATTTTGATTTCAAAATATTCAAACCTCAATTGCTCGGTAACCGTTGAGCAAATGGCATTAAAATTTCCAGTATTTGTAGCTTTTATCAAGTTCTAAATGGCCTGTAATTTACAATATTTCCAAATTTATAGTTTTTGAGCAAATTGAATTTGAAGTTTTTGACAAAATTTGGACTGAAAGGCAACTTAGAGGCTCAATTGCTCAAAAACTATTAGAGCTATCAATCTCAATTTTACATGGATTTATAGAGAATTTAATGCTTTTTCCAATGGTATATAATTTTTTTCAATTTGCTCATAATTTACCAAAGATAGGGGCAATTGTTCATGACCATGTCAGGATTTTGAAAATTTTCCAGAGCCAAAAATAGGTTTTTCTTTTTATTTTTGTGTCTGCTTAAAACGGCCATTTGGAAGTGATATCAGGGTTGTTTTCCACTAGTTTTGACCCGCTCTATCGACTCATAAAGTCAAAATTCAAGAAAACTGAAAAATTAAAAAATCGAATTTTTCATAAGGGTATCCCCTTTGAATTCTGATTTCAAAATATTCAAACCTCAATTGCTCAGTAACCATTGAGCAAATTGCATTAAAACTTTCAGCATTTGTAGTTCTTATTAAGCTCTAAATCGTCTGTGCTCCACAATATTTCCAAATTTATAGTTTTTGAGCAAATTGAATTTGAAATTTTTGACCAAATTTGGACTGAAAGGCGATTTAGAGGCTCAATTGCTCAAAAACTATTTGAGCTATCAAACTCAATTTTTAAAATTTACTAAAGATATGGGCAATTATTCATGACCATGTCAGGATTTTGAATATTTTCCAGAGTCAAAAAAAGGATTTTATTTTTATTTTTGTGTCTGCTTGAAATTACCATTTGGAATTGATGTCAGGGTTGTTTTCCACTAATGTTGACCCGCTCCATCGATTCATAAAGTCAAAATTCAACAAAACTAAAAAATAAAAAAATCGAATTTTTCATAAGGGTATCCCCTTTGAATTCTGATTTCAAAATATTCAAACCTCAATTGCTCGGTAACCGTTGAGCAAATGGCATTAAAATTTCCAGAATTTGTAGCTTTTATTAAGTTCTAAATGGCTTGTAATTTACAATATTTCCAAATTTATAGTTTTTGAGCAAATTGAGTTTGAAATTTTTGACAAAATTTGGACTAAAAGTTAACTTTGAAGCTCAATTGCTCCGAAAACTATTCGAGCTATCGAACTCAATTTTGCACAGATTTATAGAGAATTTAATTCTCTTTCCAATGATGTATACTTTATTTCAATTTGCTCAAAATTTACCACAGATATGGGCAATTATTCATGACCATGTCAAGATTTTGAAAACTTTCCAGAACTAAAAATAGGATATTCTTTTTATTTTTGCTTCTGTTAAAAATGGGCATTTGGAATTGATATCAGGGTTGTTTTCCACTAATTTTGTCCCGCCCTATCGATTTATAAAGTCAAAATTCAACAAAACTAAAAAATAAAAAAATCGAATTTTTCATAAGGGTATCCCCTTTGAATTTTGATTTCAAAATATTCAAACCTCAATTGCTCGGTAACCGTTGAGCAAATGGCATTAAAATTTCCAGTATTTGTAGCTTTTATCAAGTTCTAAATGGCCTGTAATTTACAATATTTCCAAATTTATAGTTTTTGAGCAAATTGAATTTGAAGTTTTTGACAAAATTTGGACTGAAAGGCAACTTAGAGGCTCAATTGCTCAAAAACTATTAGAGCTATCAATCTCAATTTTACATGGATTTATAGAGAATTTAATGCTTTTTCCAATGGTATATAATTTTTTTCAATTTGCTCATAATTTACCAAAGATAGGGGCAATTGTTCATGACCATGTCAGGATTTTGAAAATTTTCCAGAGCCAAAAATAGGTTTTTCTTTTTATTTTTGTGTCTGCTTAAAACGGCCATTTGGAAGTGATATCAGGGTTGTTTTCCACTAGTTTTGACCCGCTCTATCGACTCATAAAGTCAAAATTCAAGAAAACTGAAAAATTAAAAAATCGAATTTTTCATAAGGGTATCCCCTTTGAATTCTGATTTCAAAATATTCAAACCTCAATTGCTCAGTAACCATTGAGCAAATTTCATTAAAACTTTCAGCATTTGTAGTTCTTATTAAGCTCTAAATCGTCTGTGTTCCACAATATTTCCAGATTTATAGTTTTCGAGCAAATTGAATTTGAAATTTTTGACAAAATTTGGACTGAAAGGCGACTTAGAGGCTCAATTGCTCAAAAACTATTTGAGCTATCAAACTCAATTTTTAAAATTTACTAAAGATATGGGCAATTATTCATGACCATGTCAGGATTTTGAATATTTTCCAGAGTCAAAAAAAGGATTTTATTTTTATTTTTGTGTCTGCTTGAAATTACCATTTGGAATTGATGTCAGGGTTGTTTTCCACTAATGTTGACCCGCTCCATCGATTCATAAAGTCAAAATTCAACAAAACTGAAAAATAAAAAAATCGAATTTTTCATAAGGGTATCCCCTTTGAATTCTGAGGAGTACTCTACTGGTAAAGGAAACTTAATCTGGGTCTTCTAGTGCAAAGAAGCCAGAATTTCCAAATTGGAAAAAGAAAAAAGAAAGAATTTGCGTAGTTTGTAAGTGTAATAATTTGAGCCTCAAACCTATACACAAATTTTCCCTCCCTCGTATATTCCTCTAACCGTGTATCGATCCAGAATTCCAGAATGCGCCCTTCTTAGGAAAACGTCAAACTCGCCCTAACCCCATTTAACGTAAAATGTCAGCCCCATAAAAATTCAAAATCCCTAATTATGGCCAACAATTTCCGTAAAATTCAACGTTATGGTAGATTATAAGTTGCAGCAAACGAATATTTTACGCAGGCGATGTAATAACGCCGCCAACAATCCAGAGCGGGATTGTACAAAATATTTCATTAGCGATTATGAAATTATGTAAGTCCGATTCCGTTTGAAATATTTACTTTTTTGGTTTTTTCTTTGCAGTCCGCAAATCAAAAAACGATACCTACTCGGAGCCTTTGCAGCTCTAGTCGTGATAGGGCTTATTATAGGGGCCTACTATGGAGGAGTTTTTGGATCAAAGAATAATGAGCTTATACCGCCGGATCCAATCAAAGCTCTACCTCCATCTGGATCGCAGCTGAGGGTTTTCAAAAGAGCTGCAGTTTGTGCTGACTCGGCTGTTTGTGCTAAAGTAGGCAAGTAAGTACTTACCTGTGTTTTGAGGCTTGAAAAATTCTTGTCCCATCTGGAAGCAGAAAATCATAGATTAGGGAAAGTTGGCAACGTTGCAAAACTGTATGTTGCTGGCCTTAGCAATAATTTATTGGGTTTTATCAGCATTATTTTTATTGTAACAAGGCTAAAAATTATTCACTTGCCCATAAGGAAAATTTAAGCTAATTTGGGACAAGAAGCCTATCGCTTGCACATGTGTGGAAAATTATTTATAAACTTCAATTTCACTTAAAAATAGTTTGCATGCTGAATGTAGCGTTCATTGGCTTTTCACCTGATTTTATTTTATAAATTTTGAAAATAGCATACAGTGCTGTATATTAACTAGATTCCATAGAATCTTTAAAATTTTCAATCCATCAGTGTAGAAACTGTAGAAAGTAGTAATATTTACAGTCTGTAAAGTGATAGTAGGTACTTCTATTATCAGACATCCAGTGCTTAAGTAATTTTGAACATGAAATCTTAAAAATTATTACTAAAGATACTCCCACATTCAATAAAGAAAATTCCTGTTTTTGACTAAATCCGCATAATTCCTGAAAATTCCTGCAAATTCCTCTAAATTCCCCACAAATTCCTCCAGGGAAAATTTTGAAACTTTTCACATGTGAAGAGGAAGGTCAGAGTCTCATTTTCCCAAAATTTGAAATTTTTCCAGTGGAAATTTCCCTTGTGCATATTTAACTGGAAATTTACCTCGTAATTTTCATAAATTGATAAGTGGAAATATCCCTGGTGAGAGGGATATTTCCGGGTGCAATTTCCAATGCGACAATGCCGCGCGGCGTCCGTCGGAAACCCAGCTTTAGGTTGTCATTTTTGGCATTGAGACCAGCTTTTCCATTTAAAATACATTGATGTCAGAAATCTGTCAAAGTGTATATTTTTTGACAAACGCAATTTAAATGGGAAAGATCAATAACAATCACCATCACAGAACACATCATCATAATTAAAATATTCGACACAACTTATAGTGAATAAACTTCAAACTCGGGAAATTTCCTATCAAAATATAACACGTGCATAAAATATTTCCTAAGGAAATTTTTTAAAAATTTGGTCTTTAGTCAATTTTTTTAAAGAAAACCATTCGTGCAAGCGCCAAAGAAAAAATCCCTCACCCTTCGGGTTCGGGATTTTTTCAGGCGCTATGCACTCATGATTTTTTTAAAAAATTGGCTTCAGACAAAATTTTCAAAAATTTCCGGAAATATTTTATGCACTAGTTATATTTCTACTGGAAAATAACAACATGAAGAATCTTGGAAATCAACCTCCAATAACTGAATTAATGGAAAATGCAGTCTTACACTTTTCAAAGTTCTCCTAGAAAACTAGCGAAGGGAAAATTTTGAAACTTTTCGCATGTAAAAAAAAAGGAGAGAAGCTCATTTTCCCGAAATTTCAAATTTTTCCAGTGGAAAACAGCAACATGAAGAATCTTGGAAATCAACCTACAAAAACTGAAATAATTAACAACACTGTCTAACACAATTCAAAGTTTTCTTGGAAAACTAGTGATTGGAAAATTTTGAAATTTTTTGCATGTAAAGAGGAAGGGGAGAAGTTCATTTTTCCAGAATTTCAAATTTTTCTAGTGGAAAATAACAACATTAAAAATCTTGGAATACAACTTACAAAAACTAAAATAATTGTTAAAATAATCTCACACAATTCAAAGTTTTCCTGAAAAACTAATAAAGGGAATATTTTGAAACTTTTTACATGTGAAGAGGAAGGTCAGAGGCTCATTTTCCCAAAATTTCAAATTTTTCCAGTGGAAAATAACATGAAGAATCTTGAAAATCAACCTTCAATAACTGAATTAACTGAAAATACAGGTTTTTCCCCTTTCCAAATTTTTCTGGAAAACTAATGAAGGCAAAAATTAGAAACTTTCGCATGTAAAGAGAAAGGGGAGAAGCTCATTTTCTCAAAATTTTAAATTTTTCTAGTAGAAAATAACAACATGAAAAATCTTGGAAATCGACCTATACAAGAACTGAAATAATTAACAACAATAGTCTCACACAATTTAAAGATTTCCTGGAAAACTAATGAAGGGAAAATTTTGAATCTTTTTGCATGTGAAGAGGAATGTCAGAGACTGATTTTCCCAAAATTACAAATTTTTCTAGTGGAAAATAACGACATAAAGAATCTTGGAAATCAATTTCCAATAACTGAATTAATTGAAAATACAGTCTCACACATTTGAAAGTTTTCCTAGAAAACTAGCGAAAGCAAAAATTTGAAACTTTTTGCATGCGAGGAGTAGAAAGGTTAAAGGTTATTTTTCCTAAAATTTCAAATTTTTCCAGTAGAAAATAACATGAGGAATATTGGAAATCAACGAGGAAATTAACCTACAATAACTGAATTAATTGAAAATACAGTCTCACATATTTCAAAGTTTTCCTGGAAAACTAGTGAAGGAAATTTTTTAAAAACTTTTTGCATCTAAAGAGGAACGTGAGAAGCTCATTTTCCCAAAATTTCAAAAATTTTTCCAGTGGAAAATAACAACATGAAGAATCTTGGAAATTAACTTACAAAAACTGAAATAATTGTTAATACAGTCTCACACAATTCAAAGTTTTCCTGGAAAACTAGTGAAGGGAAAATTTTGAAACTTTTTGCATGTAAAGAGGAAGGGGAAAAGCTCATTTTCCCAAAATTTCAAATTTTTCCAGTGAAAAATAACAACATAAACAATCTTGGGAATCAACTTACAAAAACTGAAATAATTGTTAATAAAGTCTCACACAATTCAAAGTTTCCCTGGAAAACTGATTGAGGGAAATTTTTGAAACTTTTCACATGTGAAAAGGCAGGTCAGAGGCTCATTTTCCCAAAATTTCAAATTTTTCCAGTGGAAAATAACAACATGAAGAATCTTGGAAATCAACCTCCAATAAATGAATTATATAAAAATACAGTCTCACACATTTCAAAGTTTACCTGGAAAACTAGTAAAGGGAAAATTTTGAAACCTTTTGCATGTGAAGAGAAAGGTGAGAAGCTCATTTTCCCAAAATTTCAAATTTTTCCAGTGGAAAATAACAACATGAAGAATCTTGGAAATCAACTTACAAAAACTGAATTAGTTGAAAATACCGTCTCGCACATTTCGAAGTTTTCCTGAAAAACTAGTGAACGCAAAAATTTGAAACTTATCGTATGTAGAGAGGAAGGTGAGAAGCTCATTTTCCCAAAATTTCAAATTTTTCCAGCGGAAAATAACATGAAGAATCTTAAAGATCAACTTACAAAAACTGAATTAGTTGAAAATATCGTCTCACACATTTCAAAGTTTTCCTGGAAAACTAGTGAACGGAAAAATTTGAGACTTTTACATGTGAAAAGGAAGGTTAGAAGCTCATTCTCCAAAAATTTCAAATTTTTCCAGTGGAAAATAACAACATGAAGAATCTCGGAAATCAGCCTACAAAAACTGTAGTTATTATTGTTTTGAATTTTTTAAATTTGGACTTGTAAATCATGAAGTGAAATTTTGGGAGAATTTCTTTAATGAGAATGAATGTGCAACGTTAATATTGGTGAGTAGATGGCTGCGGACTTTTTGTCAATTTTATGTGATTTCTTAAAATCCAATTTATTCCCATAGGAATTCCTGTACAAAATTTCATTGAATTCCATCATAAACTTCCATGAAATTCTTCGAAATTTTACTAAAAATTATTCCATCATGAGAATTCCGTAGAAATTTCCATGTATAATTTCCACGATAATTCGACCATAAGATACCATGAAACCCCTTAGAATTTCACTAACATGTCAAATTATTCCATAAAAATTCCGCGGAAGTTTTATGTTTTACAGAAATTTCGCGGAATGCCATTAAAATTTCCTATAAATCTTCGGAATTCCACCAGAATTTCTTGTGAGTTTAATGGAATTCCTGAAATTCCATGTCAAATTTTTTGTAATTCCCATTCATTTGGCAATTCCCGTAATAACTCTCATTAATTAATTTTGCAATTAATTTCCCGTAAGTTTTTGTAATTTTTCGAAAACTCGTAATTCTTGTAATTTTCCGTATTTTTCGTAATTTCTGTGATTTTATAATTTCCATAATTTTTAATAATTTTCGAAATTTTTATAATTCCTGTCAATTTCGCAATAGGGAACTTGCAAATGAACTAAAATTTTCCAAATTTGTTTTAAATCGATAGTTTATACTGCACAATGTTTATATGTCCAGTTTTTATTTTACTAATACCGCTCTTGTTACACAAAAAATAACACAAAATTTGAAATAAAATTTCTCCCGCCAAAACGATGCTTCCATGATGGCTACCTTTTTTGACGTCACGATTCTGTAAAGAAACCTATCAATAGGGAACTTACAAGTGAAATAAAGTTTACGAAAGCAATCTTTTACAATATTCTTCATCCATTGCCACAATTTTCACAAACACAACACAAAAATAGCACTAAGTCGGCAAGAATTCGTTTGCTGCATTTGATGTTTACAAAATCTTGACATCATGAGCGCTGTCATATTGAAATTTCGCGTTTTCGCGCCAAAGTTTTTGATTTGAATTTCAATTTTTTTTTTTTCGTAGAATGTATAAATTAAAATGGAAAAAAAGAAAACTATGTAATATCTGATGACTAGAAGTATCTAAAAAAAAATAAATTGAGAAATATGAAAATTCCCTATTCCTGTAATAACTCTTGTTTATTTTGCAATTTCCCGTAAATTATCGTAATTTTTCGAAAATTCCTAATTCATGTAATTATCCGTAATTTCCCGTATTTTTTATTTTTTTTTGTAATTTCTGTAATTTTATAATTTTCGTATTTTTTGATAACTTTTGAAATTTTTATAATTCTTGTTAATTTTGCAATTCCCGTAAATTTTCGTAATTTTTCAAAAACTCGTAATTCTTGTAATTTTCCTTTTTTGTTTTTGTAATTTCTGTGGTTTTTGA